TTGGTCTCCAACATCTGCACCATCGTCTACTAAGGTGAGCTCCACTGTCTCTCTCTCTCTCTCTCTCTCTCTCTCTCTCTCTCCGAAGCTCTTCCTTCCCCTTTCTCTCTCTCTCTCTCTCTCTCTCTCTCAGTGATTGATGAGTTGTATGTGCTCTGTTTTAGTAATTGTTTTTCACTGATGAGTTGTATATACTCTGTTTCATTGCCTTATCTTTGTTTGGTTGCTGAGAAAACTGGGAAAAAAATATTAAAGAATATAAATTTGGATTGTTTTTTTTTTCATGCGCTTGATTTTGTTGTAATTTCAGTTCTAGCATTCATTCATTTGAGATTTCAAGTTATTCTAAAATCACATAATTACTGTCTTGTCTTCCCACATTTGGTAGAAGGAACCTAGGAGATCTTCAGAGCTATTGGTCATGTTAGTACTTGCAACTATTCTGAAAAAGAAATTGATAAATGTGATGTTTTAGAGTTATCATCCATTGAATTTGGTTAGTATATGACACATTTTCTTGGCCAAAACTAGTGGTCTTTATTCCATGTATAATATGCCCATCCACTTGAAAGGGCTTTCCTTGATTAACATTTTTAGTAGAGTTTGATTATTATTATTCCATTTTCTTTATAGTTGCCATTGAAAAAATTATCAGAAACATCATTGAAATGAAAATGAGAATATTACAAAATTGGAATGTGAAACAGAAGGAAATATTTCAAAAAATAGAACATTATTTGAGAGAATCAAAAGTTCTTGTGTGTCTTTTGTGGGTTATATATTGTTAATTGATTTAGAAAATGCTTAATGATCTCATACTTCAGCAAAAGTGTACTAAAGAAGCCTACGGACATGTAAAAAGGAGAAAAATAGTGAATTGATAGCTCCAGTTGGTCCTTCATCTTTTTCTGCTGCCCGTAGAAGGGGAAGATGAAGGATACATTGTTTGAGGAATTAGAGGGTGAAGGATGAGTTAGATAATTGAATTTATGTGGTGAATTTCTGGTAGATTGATTCCTTGCATCGTCTTGATGCTCTCTCAATAAAGTTCGCTTATTTATCAAAAAAAAAAAAAATTCTGTTACATTGAACATAAGAACTTTAAACTGCTACGAGGCTAACTTGCTTTTATGGAATCAAATTATAGTTTATAAGATAATCAAGAAAGGAAAATTCCATTTGACAGTGAAATGTCTGATGTGTTATTGGCTAGACAAAATAGAGTAGAATGAAAACCAGGGATTACAGTTTTGAACAAGTGGAACTGAGAAGTACATTAAGAAGGCTATAGATCAATGGCTAAGATGGTTTGATAAATTACTCAAAGAAATAAGGATCGCGTGAGGAGTAATTTGGTTGAAATCTACTGGATTAAAAAGATAGACTGAGGTTGTGGAAGAATGTGATCTGTAATTTAGCATGATCTTTTTTTTTCTTTTTTTCCTTACCGGCCATCATTTGTGCTACATATGTATCATAGCTATTTGTAGCTTCAAAAGTTCTTTTCTTTTGTTATGTGTAAAACCTTTCACTTCATCCTGACCTTTTCACTGGCATCATAAATCAACAATGCTAGAGACTCACATTTTGCACCCACAAATGCATCCACAATGATGTGGCAAAGGTAGTGGGTTCCATATAATTGAGTGTATAACCATAAAAAACTAACACTTGACAAATCATATCATTGTGGAGTTTTTTAAGAGTCTCAAACATTTTCCTAAAAAATAGTAGATTCTATCATATACATTAGCATCATCTTAAAATAGGAACAATGACAGTTTCAATCAAGAAGAAACTGTGAGAGCTTGATATATTTGCTCCTGGTATAAGCTTGTGGAACAATTGATTGTCTAATATGGTATCAGAATTGTGATTATGAGTGGGTCCACAAGTAGTAGACTCCACATGCACCTTTCACCTTGTTTCCCTCTTCCAATCTTGCACTCATAATAGTGGTTGATCCCTATCACTTGCATTGAAAACTTTGCTTTTGCATTGCTATCCTTATTCTATCTAGTTATCCATAGTCCATTCCATCTCTTAGTCTTTTCAAATGTGAGAGGAGGTCGAACTTGAGGGAGGGTGTGAGGGCTTGATGCAACATCGTGTAGCCTATACTGTAATAGCTTAAGCTTTTGGGGCAAGTAGTTATCTAACTTTATTGATGACATGGTTTACTAGGAAGGTTTTGTGTTTGAAGTTTGAACCTTACTTATATTCTTTTACCAGTCTCACGTACAATCATGCAACATAGTTTGAGTGGTGACGTGAAGGACCTTATAGGCATGCACAAGATAGGAGCCAATCCCATTTATTTATCTCATTTGAGTGTTTTTGCTCTGGATGCAAACACAAATTGATTACAAGGTCATAAACATGGACCAATGGATGGGTTTCTATTGGTTTTGCAATGAGGTAATCCAACGGTTATGTCACGACCCAAACCCGCCCCTAAAGGTTTGGCATCGTAACCGGCCAGTAATCCAAGATTACCAAAGGCCTTCCTGTACAAAACTTAAATAATCGGGGCTAGCGGAAGCAAGGACAAAATACCAAGAGTCCAAAGAGCTGTGCATCTATATGAACAAATATTTACATGCCAAAAATATTAATTTACCCACTTACATTACATAACATATAACAAAATATCATATACAAAACATAGGCACGTGCCATGAGTGTACCACAAAAACAAAGCTTGCTAACGGCCTTCCAGGCCTAGCCCCAGTTCGGAGGCACCCAAAACACCTGGTAAGCTTCAAAACGGCGGCTCGGTTCAAGACTCCACCTAGGCTTGACTCCCAGAATGCTCACTTATAAATACATATATAAAAACAGTGAGTTAAAGCCAAGTGAATAACATTAAAGTAAAGGGGGAGTGAACGAATTCCACATATAACATATCCGTAAAATAAATCATGTCACAACCATTCATATCAGAACACAACATAATGGTACATCTCAGAGGATACAATGCATATCGTTTTCCGACTAGAGAATCGGTTCCGGTTACCGATTAACACATATCACCACAATGAAGTGGCTAACGAGATCTCGTATCACATATATGTCATGGACCCGCACAAATGTGCCGTCCCCCATGACTTGGAACTATCCGTGGATGCCATACTAATTTTGCAAATAGGATATTCGTTCACAGAATCAAGATAGCACTTTGAGAAAACATAGTGTGTCAATAACTGTTAAAGCATAATTTCTATCAACATAACTTTACAGAAATGTTACTCACTGTGGTTTTCCAAAACCGGTTGTGCGGTCTTCGAGTCTTGACCTACAATTATAAACATTCATAGCACAATTTCTTAGCACATATTGTCATCAAGTCACTTAGTGGATTCTTAACTTTATTCATTTATTTGATACTCGGTTGTTCAATTAGTTCTATTTTTTTCTTACTTTACTTCATGATTATGAGATGCTAATGGATGTATGTGACATGTGAAAATCATGTAAATGAAGGCCCGCAAGTCAAAAAACGAAAAGAGAACAAAATTAGAAAATTGCACTGTTTGGCCGCACGTGTGGTGGCCCTGGCCGCTCGTGCGGTGGCCTTGGCCGCACGAGCGGTGGAACTGCAGAATGTATTTTGGCCCAAAACAAGTTTGGCCGCTCGTGCGGTGGCCTAGGCCGCTCGTGCGGTGGCCTAGGCCGCTCGAGCGGTTTGGGTGAACACCACTCTGAAAATCTGCTTTGAAAGGGAACCTCCTCCTTTGCAAAATCAATCTCAAAATTTATGAAAATCAAGGCCCAAAACACTTGAAAACCACTTGAATTTCCCATTTCTAGCTTCTAATAAAAATCATAACTTCCAAACAAAATCCAAATGTCTCATGTAAAGAATCAAACCTTGAATTGAGATGGAAAATCATAATACATGCACATAAAAGTTTCATTTCTCAAATCCATGGAGTTTCCTCCTCAAATATGACAATCATGCAAGAAAAACATGATTCTAAACATGAATTTCATAATATTATGCCATGTATTCTCATAAATGATTCCTAGGTTAAAATACAACACCATATTCTCAATTAGACATAATTTCCCCCTTAATTCACTTGACTTACCATGAGATCATGGGTATATCAACCCTATGTCAAGAATTTAGAAGAAGATTCTTACCTTAGATAATTAATTGGAGAAGATTTGGCTCAAAACTCCTTCTTCCTCCCTTTTCTTTCTCTTGATCTCTTTTTCCTCTAGAACATTCTCTCTCTCTTTCTCAGATTTTTCTTCTCTTTTGTGTTGAATCAAAACAAAGGTCCATGTCTAGTTATATATATTTGTCCCTAAGAGTTGAGCCAAACATGGCTTAGCGAATCAGATGAAAATCAGTTTCCAATTAAACTTTCCAAATGGCTCTAAAAATTCCCGGTAACATATATACGTGCTCAATTTCGTTTTCCGAACCCATTATGGTCGTCAATTTCAGTCTCGAAGTTGTAGCCTCAACAGATATTTTTCCAATTCAAACAGATATCCTCTCATTAATTCATATTAGCGCATAATTAATTAAGGATAATTGTGACATGCATTTTGCGACCGTTACAGGTTAGTTGCTAATTGTTATTTTAGAATTTATAGATATCTTTTTTTTTAGTTGATCCTCTAGTGTAAGTTAACTGGTTGATGTGTGTGATACATTTGTCTTTACATCTGTCTTTGCCTATTCTACAACTCAGTTGGATTGAGTTACAACTAGTGGATCAAATTTAAATGGTTTATTGTGAATAAAATGAGTAGATCCTAAGGTTATTGGGGGAGGAAAAAAAAGAAAAAGAAACTAAACTTATTGAAACTGCAACAAATAACACTTTTGAATGAACACAAGGATCTGAATCATATATGAACAAGCATAGATCTGTACAACATAGGTGTGTACTTGGCTTATTGTTAACTAATTTTTATATTGTGTCTGACTCATTGCATTTGTTGCTGCAAGGTCTGGAACATGATCAAACTTCTATCTACTCCTACTACTACTACTCTTGCTTTGGTCGGAGGCGATTTATTAGGTTATGTAATGTATGATGTCACCCATTACTATTTGCACCATGGACAACCAACAGGTCAAGTAACTCGACATCTTAAGGTAAGAGTTGTACTTGTTTACATTTTCGAGCGGTATTAAATAATCAAATACACAACTCATTTTCTTTCTAGTGAATCAAACGAACCAGTCATCTTTAACAAATAATTGGTTGTACTTTTGCAGAAATATCACTTGAATCACCATTTCCGTATCCAGGATAAAGGCTTTGGTATTACTTCCTCGATATGGGACAAGGTGTTTGGAACACTACCTCAATCAAAAGCAGCGGGAAAGGGTAGATAATTTAATTAGCATTTGCTCATTGCAATGTTTTAGTGGTTTGAACATATGTTTTTCTTCCTTATCATTCTTTTACCGCTGTGGTGCTTCTTATCGATTCTATGGCATATTTTTGATAGTATTTGTTTCTGAAGTTTAGCATGTCTGGATGGTGTTGACTTGCCCTTTCTTCCAACCCAAAAAAAAATGTATAAAATGAATTTATTGTCTTGGATTCAGTATTTATTTATGAATTTGCTCTTTCATTAGTCTTTTTGTTTAGCATTTTATTGTTCAATGTAACAGAATTTTTTGCAATGAGGTAATCCAACGGTTAGTTGCTAATTGTTATTTTAGAATTTATAGATATCTTTTTTTTTAGTTGATCCTCTAGTGTAAGTTGACTGGTTGATGTGTGTGATACATTTAAAAATCCATAAAGATGTTGTATATTTGATATAACATTTTTCTTTTTAAGTCATGCAGACACATGCACATTATTTAGTATACTTCAATACGTTACTTTGTTTTGCACCACGTGAAGTTTTATCTGTAGGTATATTTCCCATGTAACTTGGCAGTAACTGTTTTTTCCCCCTTTCCCTTTTGGGGTGTCAACTGGTTCAAATTGCCTAGAGCCTGGCTACTATACAAATTTGGGCTCAAAGGTTTTTTTTCTTTTTTTTCTTTTTTTTTTTTTTGGGTTGTTTGGTCAATCTTATATTCAACATATTTAACTATTTTATTCTTTTACACTTAACAGTTCTTTTGTGTGTGTATGTGTTGATGTTGTCTGCAGTTTAGTCTTGCTTAGAGGACATGACCAGACATGTATTCAACATGTTGTAGTGGATGTCCATGTACTTTTTCTCGAAATGGAAGTCTCTAGAGGGCAGACCGGGCTGTCCATGTAATTTTTATAGATGGAACTGTGGATTTGTAATTCACGGATTTTCATTAGACTTTTACATTCTTGTGTGCAAATTTTATTAGATTTATGATCAAAAAAACTCAATCCACTTCAATGACAGAATTGGCATCTTTAACATTTAGTGGGATACATGAGTTTGCATTATGGTTAAAAAATTCAGTATAAACATATAATATGCATATGGCTGCACCTCCAACTGATCCCATCATACCACCACTGCATTTGTTGCTTGGAACCGGGTCAAACTCTATGATTTCCTACAAAGCCCTGAAGATCTTGAAAGGCTCTACTATGAAATTCATTTGCTCAAGACATTGAAACACCACAACATTATGAAGTTTTACACTTCTTGGGTTGATACTGCAAACAGGAACATCAATTTTGTCACTGAAATGTTCACTTCTGGGACTCTAAAACAGTAAGTACCATGAAACTTTTCATGATTTCTTGATCTTTTCCTTGTTTCCTCTTTTGATTATACCCAATTGGAGATTTCATAGTTTTTAAATTTGGGTTCTCTCCCTTTTTGTCTGCTTGGGTAGGTATAGGCAAAAGCACAAGCGAGTCAACATTAGAGCAGTGAAGCATTGGTGCAGACAGATCTTGAAAGGTCTTCTCTATCTTCATAGCCATGACCCACCAGTCATCCACAGAGATCTCAAGTGTGACAACATTTTTATCAATGGCAACCAAGGGGAAGTGAAAATCGGTGATCTTGGCCTTGCGGCGATTCTTCGAAAATCCCATGCTGCTCACTGTGTTGGTGTGTTTAATTCAATTCCCTAAAATAGAACTCACATATTAGAGCTGAAAATTTGTTGGGGCATACTAATGATGACCTTTTTGTCTGTTGTAAAATGAGTTTTTGTGATGATTTGTAACTTTCTGCGTGAGTGATTGGATAATTGACACAATTAAGGGAAATCATTGAGTTAGTTTTTATCTATTTTTTGACGTTAATTAGGGACACCAGAGTTCATGGCTCCAGAAGTATATGCTGAGGAGTACAATGAATTGGTTGATATTTATTCTTTTGGGATGTGCATCTTGGAAATGATCACCTTTGAATATCCCTATAGTGAATGCACTCATCCTGCTCAGATCTACAAGAAAGTTATCTCTGTAAGTACCCCTCCCTCCCTCTCTCTCTCTCTCTCTCTCTCTCTCTCTCTCTCTCAATTGACATGCTTTATTGCTTTAGGGGAAAAAACCAGATGCCTTGTACAAAGTGAAAGAACCAGAGGTGAGGCAATTTGTTGAGAAATGCTTGGCCACCGTGTCACAAAGGCTCTCTGCGAGGGAGCTTTTGAATGACCCTTTTCTCCAAATTGATGATTGTGAATTGGGTTTAAAATCGATAGAGTGCCGTGGAGAAACAGACTACATGGACCCTTTGTTTAGGCATCCTTATCTTGAACTTCATTATGAAGGAAAATCATTTAGTAACAGCTCCTTCAATGGCTACGCCAATGGTGTTGTCAACTTTGAAGCCCAAAATGAATGGGAGCTCCATTCAACTGACATCAAACAAAGTGGAATGGAACTATTTGAATACAATGACGATGAACATGATGAGCATCCTGTTAATGTTGATATAACCATCAAAGGGAAGAGGAGAGAAGATGGTATCATCTTTTTAAGACTCAGAATTTCAGACAAAGAAGGTAAAAAAAAAAAAAAAAATAATAAATAAACATCATGTTTAGTGTCATTTTGATAGTTGTTCACTTGAAAGTGGGAGCAAAAAATCAGCATTATTGTTTCTCTCTTTGCAGGACGCATCCGAAACATCTATTTCCCATTTGACATTGAAACCGACACAGCATTAAGTGTTGCGACTGAAATGGTTGCAGAACTGGATATAACCGATCAAGATGTGACTAAAATAGCTGATATGATTGATGGAGAGATTGCTTCGCTGGTACCCGAATGGGAGCCAGGGCCAAGAATAGAAGAAACTCCCCGGTTTGCCAATTTAAATTTCTGCCACAATTGTGCCTCCAATCACACCTCAACTGGTTCCTTAATGAACTTTCTGTTAAATAATCCAGGAGCCAAGAACTTGCAAATTCTACAATGTTCTGGAAATGGATGTGCAGCTATGCATGGCCGGTTCGAAGAAATCACATATCAAGTTGATGGACCTGAGAATTATGCGTCAGAAAGTGCAAATGATCCGACTTTATCAGGCCGAGCCAATGGTTTCCATTTTCCGGAAATTTGGGATCACCACGAAAGCCTTGGATGCAGTTCACTAGGCTCTGGAGAGAGTCATACTGATGAAGAACATCAATCAACTTCTAAGAGAGAAACGGAGCCCGAAGCCATATCTTGTGAAAGAAATTTGATCAAATCTTTATCGGGTACTCATTCTTGTACCAAGATTCCTGCATCAATTGAT